AGAGGTGGGCAATTGAGTCTATGGTATTGTAAGTATTGATCGCATTTAGTATATGAACTTATACTTGGTTATAGTAAATTTATTAAAAGAATTGAACAATTATGTGTTAACAGGATGTTTTAAGTGTTGCCTTCTCTGTTGATAATCGACAAATTGTGTCTGGATCTCGAGACAAGACCATTAAACTGTGGAATACTTTGGCAGAGTGTAAATACACAATTCAAGATGATGGACACTCAGATTGGGTCAGCTGTGTACGTTTTTCTCCAAATCATTCAAATCCTATTATTGTTTCTGCAGGTTGGGTATGATGTATACATTTTTATTCAACATGATATCTATGAGTGTTTGCGGATATGGGACTGATTTTCAAAACTTATAAACTGTTTAACAAAATTATTGATTATTTTTGCTTCTAACAGTAAAATGTTTTGTAGGTATGGAATTTAACAAATTGCAAACTAAAGATCAATCATAGTGGACACATGGGATATCTTAATACAGTTACTGTATCTCCTGATGGCTCACTTTGTGCTTCAGGTGGCAAGGTATATACTATGAAAAAAGTACATCATGTCATTTGATGTAACCTTTGGATTAATGTTAACACTATTGTTTAACTGTTTAAGAATTGTTTTAAGTATTTACTAACACATTTTTCTTTAATTTGCAGGACTGCAAGGCAATGTTATGGGATTTGAATGATGGAAAGCATCTTCATACTTTAGATCACAATGACATTATAACAGCCCTGTGTTTCAGTCCTAATCGTTATTGGCTTTGTGCTGCATTTGGACCATGGATCAAGATATGGGATCTTGAAACCAAAGAGATGGTTGAGGAGTTGAAACCAGAAGTTGTGTCTGCAACAAGTAAAGCAGAACCACCTCATTGTTTATCTTTAGCATGGTCTACTGATGGACAAACTCTCTTTGCTGGTTACTCTGACAACACTATTCGTGTTTGGCAAGTTTCTGTAACTAGCCGTTAAATACTTTTTACGGATATAAACAAATAAAAAGGGAAAAAGACTTGAAATATGCGTTTTATTTATATTTGATACAAAGCTTTTACATTATTACTAAAGAATGATTAAAAATTATTTTTCTTCACTGGCTTTGGAGCTTGTAACCTTTTCTTCAAATTTTTCAAATTCTTTTTTTGCTATTTGATCAGTTTCATCCTCTACTTGTATTACTCCAAGGACTTCGGGAATATAAAATTGCATCATATTTTGAACTCCATTCTTTAAAGTGACCACAGAACTTGGGCAACTTGTACAGGAACCTTGCATTTTTAATTTCACTATACCTTCTTCAAAACCCTGTAATTATGTGTTAAGAAAATGAAGTTATACATGTCAGTATACGAATTTAACCACACTTGTAATATTCTTATATGTATTGTTAATTTTGGGTCCATAAAATAAAAATAATTTGTTTATTACATACCATAAATACAATGTCACCTCCATCTTCCTGTACTGTTGGTCTTATTCGAGTGTCTAATAATTCTTTTATCATTTGAACTATCTCATTATCATCATCACTAATTTCTACAATAAATCAGGAATTATTTATCATGTTGCAAAGGTATTTGTGTTCTTAAATGAGAATGTACTATACATGCAATATAATATAAAACTTAAAACATAAATTTTAGAGGAGAAACATAAATATGTAAGTTATTTTGTCATATTGTGCTATATAAATCATTTTGTATAAAAATAAAGGAACAAAATAGAACTTTACGTGTATCAGCTGCAGGCTGCTCATCAGTTAACATAGGTAAACCAGATGCAAAGAAATCCATAATGACTGCAAATATTTCTGGTTTCAGTAATTTCCATTCTACATCCTCATCCATTTTTGTTATTGTAATAAAATCTGGTCCAAAAAATACAGACTTTACACCATCAATGCGGAATAACATTTTTGCAAGTGGTGAACAATATGCATCAGTGACATTAGGGAAATCTTTAGTTTGGCCTTGTTCTAGGACTTTAACACCAGGTAAAAACTTCAAACTATTAGGATTTGGTGTATCTTGTATTTGAATGAACATTGTGCGCCTTTGTACATCATTAAATTGTTTTATAGGAGAAAACAGACTTTGTTTTAATGTATGATTATTATAGCCTGTATGTAAATGTGCAACACAATTCAATATTTATATTATATTATTTGTATATACTTTATATTCATATTTTCATAAATTAACATTTAATTTTGTCACCTTACTTTGGATATTGACATGTCGTAGCTCTACATGCTAATCGTCGAATAATGTATACTGTGCTTGTTAACATTTTGTCCATTATTTTGTCATTAATTATTTTCTGTTGCTAAGAATCATTACACTGATTTTGAGGTTATATTGCATTTCACAGTTCTATATCTGTTGTTTGCTTACATACATTCGTTTATTAATGTATAAATTATTTTTATCTTCTGCGCAATTTTACGTTTTTCTTATGTATATATGTATAGTAACGGAAGAGACATTAACGTTTGGTAAAATTTTATTAACATATGTAGTTATTTCGTGACAATATGATTTTGCACAGGTCAGGTCTTTTATGTACAATGTATATGTCTAATTCAATATCATAACTAATTATATAAATATTGTTTGATAATTATATCTCTATATTACAGACATGTATATTAAAGAATCGTCAAATAATACAAGAGATAAATGGTTTATATGCAAGGTGTGACTAGATACGCGAAAGTGGGGTATACAGAGATGATGAAGCGGAATAACCGAGTGCGTGCGAAAGTTGAAATGCTAGATAAATTTTGTAACGAGAATCTGTGCGAAAGTGAAGGAATGTGCTTATAACATAGGAAGTTCCACTTTAATCCATTAATGCACATATTTTGGAAAATACACTGCATAAAAAAATGTTTTACGAGAGGGACATAATATACAGGTGAAAATTGATCATTATTGTTAACTGATGATTCTCTCAATGATACATGAGTAAGACAAGGAAAGGAGTAGGGACCGAGAAGGATGGCAATAGTGCCGCGTATAAGACAAGGAAAGGAATAGCTGTAAACAAGGACAGAATATTTTCAAAAATGAAGCACGCCATCTCGTGTTTGGCCGCGCGAACTGACGGCTCATTACTAGGAACACAGAATGTGAACAGAGGTATTAGACAAGGAAAGTACTAGTGTGCGAGAAGGACAGAGAGAAACGTTTCCTATTGGTCCGCGGAACCTAAGCTTTCTTTCCCACATGCCGAATCAAGTCGGCCAGGGAGAAATCATTAATAACTCATTATTTACGATGAATTTGTGAACTTGCTAGGGAAAGGCTAAAGGCTTTGGCCAGCGGTTTTATCTGCAGGTCCCTCTCCGGTCAAGGCTATGAGCGGAGTAAAGTTAGTCTGTCTTTATGTGAATTACCGATGGATCTTTCAGGCTTCCACAGGAATTACAATTACTTATCAAAAAATCCATTATTTATTGTATAATAAATATACAAAATGTATTTTACAAAAGGTTACAACATACCAGTATTGTTTTATAGCATTTTATAGCCTATTTATCTCCCTTACACACCATAACCGTTTCCTTTTGCGAAACACTCATTCTTTAAATAATATTCCATTATAAAATTAAATGAACTAAATCCGGATAGCGTTCGGAACGCGTAAAAATCGAAAAGGTCACAAAAATTCCGAAATTCGAACGAAAAACGTCGAAAATTATGTGACAATTACGTCAAAAATATAGAATAATTATATAATTTGTAAAATCATCATTCTATGCTTAGAGAGCACAAAAAACCATTAATGTTTTTCAAAATCAATACTTTAAATGAATGGTTCATTCTGTATTTCGTGTGTGATTGCACTTTTTAACTAAGGTTTCTATGATATATGAATAAAAGAAAAAAATAACATGCTATCAATAACAATAAAGTATATTTACTACAACATAAAAGATATCAGTGTACAACAAAAATATGCAAATACTTAATCCAATAAAGTGCAATGTTTTTAATTATAATTAGTACGTTACTTAAGATAAAATTAACAACTTCTGATCATTAATATCAAATTGCTGAAGATTAGTTTACTTAAAATTTAAATAATAACTATTTAAATAGATTATAATACTTCAAAATTAAAAGAGCTTGATCCTTGCACATAATGTACTTTGGTTGCAAGTTGCTGTTTATACAAAACTTAATCATTGTACTTTATAAGAAAATAAATTTGAAAATTAGAAAATAAAACTATAATTACAAATGTTACAATAATATGGAATATAAAACAGAGTAAGTAATGACTGTAGGTATATACAAAAAGATAAATACGAAGCAGTTGATTGTGAAGAATCTTTTTGTTTACCAGGTTGTGAAACACATAAATCTTCACAATCTTCATCCTCACATATATCACAAAGTGTGGCTTTTCTTGGTTCATAAAATACTCGTGCTCTTCTTGCTAAACATATTCAAATAAGCATTCATTATTAAAATTTATTTGTGATATCAAAATAAAGTTAATTTCAAATGAATTATAAATTTATTGAATGTTTAAATATCTTACATGAATCGTAATAATCGTATATAGTAACTGGTACTGGTTTCTGTTTTGCCACTTTATGCGTTCTAAATGCAGATACTGTAGGGCAATATTCTTGTCTATTCATCTGTAATATGTTATTTGCTTTAAATCTTGTTTCAAATTGTTTAATAATATATACTTAATATTTTCCTTACCTCGTCAAAATATAATACCACAAGTGTATCACCGTTCTTAGTTTCTACTCGCTTTACATTTTGGGAGACTTCAAGACTAGGTAGTGATTCCTTGTCCACGGTAAAACCTGAAGGTAAACTGACTTCCATCACAACCATATTACTTTCATTTGCTTCTTTAGTTGGGACAAAACTAATAACAAACATGTTGCGTTAAGTATGCTGTACTATATAACATAATATGTATAAAATATTAAAGGAATGTTGTATAATATACCTAGAACAAACAGAAAGTTGTAAATGATTAGCATTGGAATTTTTGTCTACTTGAGGATCTAAAGTAAAAAGAGGCCATGCTCCAGTTACGTTTAAATTATATTGGAATGAAACTTGAACCAATGCAAATCCACTTCCAGTAGCTGTTATATTAACTAGTCGTATTTTTCTTGGAAGCTTAAAAAATAAACATTAGAATCTCTTTTTAATATATACATATTAAATACAATCTAAATTTACCACTTGTTTTTGAAGTATCATAGAATTATCAGGATTTATATTCATTTGACTCTGTCCACCTCCTTCATACATAAATATTATAGAAATGGCATTATTTTTTGTTGCCAAGTTTTCACCTAACTCTGCCAAAGCTTGTATTCCAATTACTGTATCCTAAGAATTATAAATTCATAATAAGTGTACTTGCTGCAGCTAGATAACTTGATATTTATTACAATATTTACCTGTGTCGATGCAAAACCACCTTCTGCATTTCTTTGTTTTACAAGCCACTTCATTACAGGTATGGAATCAGCAACTAAATTACGTCTTAAATAAGTTAATAAAATATAAGATGTCATTTCAATGTCAACAGACCGTGGTACCGAATAATACCACGGATTCTTATCATTTATTGGCACGGGTTTGCTCCACCATTTAAGATCTTCTTTTGTCAAAGCTTTTGATTCTAGTAAATTAAAAGCAGCATTCTCATATGGGTGTTTTGCTAAATTTAAAGCATATGTGCATATACTCAAAGCATAAATATCATCAAGTTCATTCATGTTACGGACAATGTAATCAATTCCTTTGTTTATTGTGTTTCTATATTTTCCATTAGAGTCCTATAATACAAAATAGTAATGGAATATAATAAAATTAACATACAGTTTGTTTTAATAATATTAAGTAGATGATTACACTTACTGCATTTTCAAGAAAAGCAATAAGAGTAAATGCTGTCAGTGCAAGACCTTTTGCAGCTCCACCTTGCATATCCCGATGGCTAACTCTCCCTACTTCAGGAAAACTTCCATTTGGAGCTTGATTATTCGATAACCATTGTAGAGCTTCATCTATTATCTTATCTTCGATTGGAATGTATGTAGCAGCTTGTTTAAAAGCTTTAGCCACAAAGGCAGTAAGCCTAATATAGATAAAGATGTATAATATAATTGAAAGTGTTATACAGTGAGTTGCATCGAAATGTGCCACGGCACTAACTCAAATGCATGGTGGAGGTTCTATACGAAATGACGTACGATGTGTAAGCAACGTGTGCAGAAATCATTCTAACGAAGTTTATTTGGTGACGATAAATTAGTACCGTGGCACAATTCAATGCAACTCACTGTACTTATGGCAAGATAATTAAATCCCTGCATAAAGCATACCATGTACATCCATTACTATCTGACATGCCAAATGCACTAAATGATCCATCATTATGTCTGTAAGTTAATTCTCTTTGATAGCCTATTTCCATATATCTAAGTGCTTTACCTTGTACTGCTTGTGTTAATTGATTTGTATTCTATAAAGAAAATTGAATACAAATAAATTTTCAATTGCTTTCTTCCTATAATATTTCATACATTTGTTTTTTGACATTTACGTGTAGTTCACCGTAACGGTCGGCATGACCGTTACATAGTGACCACCCTGTACTATACTTATTCACTTACTTTCAAATAATTTAATATCATTATATTTGGAACAAAATTTAGCATATTTTGTTCTCCACAACCAGATGGCATTTTAATTAAATTTGCTAAATTAAGAATACTTGGACCTAAAATATCGCCTTAAAAACATAATTTAACATTAGTATTAATATATAGACAGAAGTAGATGCAATAAAAAACAAACCTTAATTTTTAATTCTAATAGTAATATAAAATAATCAGTTTGTTTCAATAACAAATTTTAATAATAGAAGAACATTACCTACTGCAGAAATTTCAATATGTTCTGAACCTGGTACAGCATTTTTAGGTATATCAATTGTAACATTGGTAAATGTATTTGCTGTACTTCTAAGATCCAAGAAAGTAGCTTTATTTATATACTGTGCCTCTCCTTCAGCCTGTGTATAAATTAAGTCTTATTGTGAATTAGTAATCAGTAAAACACAGTAACATAAAACACATTACCTTAACAAGCAGTTTATGTTCAACACTATCACCAGCTAATATACTATTTGCAGTTGCTTTAATTGTAATATATCCCAATTCTCGTGGTATAATCATGAAAGAAACAGTACTGCCAGAATTGGCTTTTACTTCTACTTTCTTCTTGCGATATAATTCTAATTCTGCAGAATTTTTTAATAATTGTTAAAAAATATTCTAAATAATTTTTAAATAATTAATAAAATATAATTTAATAATAATTTTAAATGTATTATATCATACAGATTATATACCATGTTTTGAGTTATAAAATTTTTATTTAAACCTTACTTGGCACATCATGAACTTCATTTGATATTTCTGCAAAATCAAATTGACCTTCGTTTGATAATAAAACTTCAGCTACTACGTTCTTATTCATGTAATTAAATACTACAATTTGTATTGCAACAATTTCTCCTCGAATCACAGAGTAAGGGAGGTCTACAGCAATGAAAAATGGTCTAAAAACCTTTAACTGTGAAGAGATAATTTATATTTGTATTATGTAAGTTTTTAAATTATTTGTACAGGTATTTTGGATCACCTTTCGTGGTTCTTGTATAAGACCTAGTCCATGGACATCATTTACAGAAAATGCAGTGAGTACCCATGATGTTACTGAATCAGGCACATTTCTTTTAAGTTCATTTTTTCCATCATACCTAGTTTCAATATACATTGTTAATTTCTGTTTTAACTTTAACCTAAAGGCATTAGACAAATATAATTTTCATTGAATAAATTTATGTACGAAAAAATAAATATATACGTATAATAATTAATCTAACATTTCTGGTAAAATTTCTAATAAAAAAATTGATAAAATAAGTTATTTTTAAAACAACATATTTGTACATAGATAAGCCTTACATAATCAATGCATTTTATGAAGATTCAATCACCTTATTAAAACTATGTAATTTTCTTCCAAAATACGAAAGAATGAATGACTGAACAATGGTACAATGTAAAACATAATGTAGTTTAATGTACATATATAGAAACTAGCAACAATACGTTATACTCTATCGCCGCCTATATATACCAGTTATACATGAACACCCATGATATCCCAGAGCTTTAATTAACATAGAAATAATCTGTACAAAATAAAGCAATATTGCATGAACATAATCATTCATCAGAGAATGTACATGAAGCGTGTATGTAAAGCTTTGTAATTTGAAGTATATGAGATAAATACCCTGAAGAGAAGTTTGTAAAAAGCCAGGTGTTTAAGATGTCATGCATTAGGAATACACGGGGCTTATTCCAAACAGGAGGTGGGATGCGAGAGAAGGCATAAGGACCTGCCAGTGGTGGTCTTGTTGCTAGTTTGTGCATAACAGGTGGACCAATGTCTGGTCGAAGTGTGGATGCCCCATGAGGCGAGCCTGTTATTCTACCTTCCAGTATTCCCAGTTGTCCTGTAATCCAATTCTATATATTGTATTATATCAGCTCAACCAAGGGAATAAGAAAGTATAATATAATACTACAGAAGAGATAATTCTTAATTACATTTAATTTAAATATCATCATCCTCATACTTTATGTTACATGATGATAGTGCTTTGTATATATATTTAGATATGAGTAAATTGTAGAGAATAAAATGAGTTATAATAAATCCATCACCATAGCATTAAATCAAGCCACTATTAATATTCCCTTTCTGATAAATATTAGTAATTTAACTTTGAAAGTACTACAATATGCTGAATGTTTTCAAATAGTTAATACATGGTAACATTTATGTTTCATCGATAAGTTACGAATCAATGATGTTGTTTTAATAATAAAAAACATGATGTCAGCAGGTAAAAATTTTCAATGGCATTACCCAGCATCAAGCGTTTGCCAAAGCCAAGTTTCAGGGAAATTCTTGCGTACTTTCGTCTTCTGTGATGGCAATGCAACTGAACTGAAACTTCCAGCAGCGGTTGGAAAGGCGAGTTCTAAACCAGATCTGTAGTATACTATACAGACATAAGCCTTGTTAATTGATAAATATCTGATCTGATTAACTAAAGAATTGGTATTAAGTATTATATGAAAAATTAGACTCAAGAACATTCCTCTTATTCTACAGTACAAACGAATAAAATTATTGACTAATATGTTATGGTATTAGAAAAATATTTAGCATCATGTGTAAAGGGTAAGTAAATTAATATTAGTAATAAACTTAATAAGCCATAGAGAAAGTTATTTGCTTACGAATTGGAAGATTTTCATGAACATATCCATTTGTCATAATGATAGCACCACTTTCCTAATAATAAAAAAAATGTTAATTTTTTAAACGAAAGATAAGAGGACAAAAATAAAAAAGATAATTTATTTACACTGAAAACATCGTTTGCGGTAGCTGAACCAGGACTCCATAAATATCGATCGAAAACTGAAGCTGCATAAGGTGATTCGTATACCATGTCATATGATTTTAACTCTTTGTATATTTGTTCCTACAAATAATTAAAGTATATTTCAATTATTCATAGTTAGTCTCTTTTTAACGAAAATTATTCATTTAATTACGTACATATGAAATGTCATTGCCAGATTTTAGTAAAATAGATCTCTGATCTACACCTAATAATCCAACATATGAATTTGGTTTTGAAGTAATGAGTAAGTTGACATTTTCTCCTGGTGCAACTTCTTCAGGTGCTATTTTAATATCAACCTTAAATAAAGGGTACAATATTAATATTTAAGTTTGCTAATTAAAATGCTTACTATAACTAAACTTCTGAAATTAACATACAAAGTTTTGAAGTACTCCTTCAAGTTCTACATCTAAAGCATCCGCAATAACTTCTCCATCACTTCCTACGTAATATACAATTACGTGTGCGGTAGGAGCCATAACATATGTTGCTAAGAATCTAAAATATATTTATACTTTATAAGTAATTGTTAAGCAAAATGGATTATTTCTTAATTAGAAATTAGTAAGCATTTACTTAAAACTCGTTGTGTGCTTATTTTGAACATATATAGAATCAGCATCCAAAATGTCACCACGTCCAAATATTTCATAATTAATATATTTCAATGGAATTGTAGAATTAACTTCAATTTCGACGTCTCGATTAACCTTATAAAGAAAAATCAAACTTAATATAGTACTTTAATATACATAAGATAACTTGAATAACATAATGGTTTTACCATAGGGTTTTCAGTTTTTAAAATAGCTTGTATATATTCATTATTCAAAGACATAGCTTGGTTTGTAGATGGGAACCATTCGTGAAGATTCAAATATTGAGCCTATTTATAAAAATTATTTTTTAATTATTGTGAAATCAATTGAGATTTATTATGATGTTTTTATATATGTTATAATATTTCATTGTGATATTTTACCTCAATATTTAAAGGAAATGAATTGTTATCTTTAGTTTTTGGTGGATAAAAATCCAATTTTACCATTCCATTTTCGTCTAACATACCAGTAATATTCGTATATACAGACTGATTATAAGTATATCCATACATTATTGTAACAGGATTCTTATTATCTCGCACTGGTGCCCCATCATGATAAGTTAATTTTATCTACAAGAATTCCCTTTCACATTACATTCTTAACTTTAAATTGTTAAACTAACTTTAAATTTAGAACATTAAAAATGATTCAATGAACATACAAACGCTGTATATTTTAGACCTGGTTTATAGTATTCTGATGTTTTTATTAAATCCATTGTGTATTTATGCTTGTGTAATGTTATGTGTGTAGATGTATTTTGTCTTCTACCAGTTAGAGATTCTTCCACTGTAACATCAATCATAACTGGTCTTTCGTATTCATCGGTCAATCTGTAAATAACAAAATCAAATTATACATTCTGGAAATGTAGAAAGTATTTAATAAAGTGCTATTTAAATATAAATACCTTAATTCAGAATGAATGTCAAAATCGACAATCACTTTTCCATCTATTGGAACCACTTTTCGTATAGGTTGTTGATATATTGGTTGTATTACACCAGAAAAAATATCAGGATAAGCAGTAATTGTTGCTTCTCCTTTCACTGGCTTACCATAAGTATACCTAAATGATTTGCACTTTGAAATAAATAATTTTTGTCAAATTTTTTAGAAGAATATTAAGATATCATGGATTAAATAACATCAATGTCACTGTCATAGTGGTAGAAAAAAGTTCATAATTTTTTATGTAATTTTGAAATATGTTATAGATTTACTTAATTATTAGATTGCACTTACTTGGCATGGATTGTTGCAGTAATTTTTGATTCTTTAAATGTAAAGTGTTTAGGAGTATCAATTGTTACTTCAAAATTAGGTAAAATATATTCTGCAACTTCAAATTCCTTTTCAAAGGTTTGGCCACCAATATTTGCTGCTATTTTCCAAGATCCTAAAACTGGGGACTCAGACAATTCAATTTCTCCATTAAAGATTCCATGAGTTACAGGTGGCTGAGTCCATTGTTTAATTCTATTTCCTTTTCCATCCTATAATAATATAATGCACATTCAACAATTTGTTTTATTTATGACAATAAGTATTTATTTACAAAAACTTACTGTAATATAAATATTCTCTAATCTTTCAAGTGCGGGTCTAAGTCTAGAATTCAGTAAAATGCATCGAAACATAACTTTATTTCCTGGTTTATAAATTGCTCTATCAGTTTGAATAAATACTGAATAACTTTTAAGAATATATTGTACTGGCTTTGAATCCAAAAATTCTATTCCTGATACACCACGTGCAATTAATGTGTAATTACCAGGAGTAATATCCCCAATCTAAAATTTTAAAGAAGATTAATGAATAAATTATCAGTATTATAAAGCTAAGTTAACAAATTTAAGTACATTTACCTCAAGGCGTAAGATTCTTGTGGAATATGGTTGTATACGTGTCACTTGAGATACATTGAATATTTCTTTGTTGTCAAGCAATCCTGTTAATTCAATGTATATTGTTGATGGTGTTGATACACCAGTAATACTTACAGCTACATGATATTCTGAATCAGGTCGTACCACTTTTGGAGCTACTATGCTATAATACCTTAAATATGTATCAAAACATTTCATTAAAAAATTATTTAATAAATAATTATGAACACAATAAGTAAAATACATATGTACATACGATTCAGCAGTTACATTTAGAATTACACATGACATCAAAAAGATGCGAAACAGCAACCAATCCATTTTACAAAAATTATATTAAAATAAAAAATGATAAAAGAGATTGGAACTTAATGTTCATATTAATAAAAATATGTTGTTAACCCAGGGTTAGTCTGATAAGGTCTGATATACCTGACACCATAATTTTCATTCTGCTATTTGTATAATTGTCATCACTGAACTTCGACGTTCAATTTATCTATCCGTCTTCTTCTGCAGATCATGACAACACAAAGGAATTCAGTATAGCAACAGCTGTTCTAAAATGTTTATTTGTTGACTATTTGTGATTTTTTTGCTTATTGAACTAACGTTTCTCAAACCATACCAGACTTAAGGGTGAGAAAAAAATTTGATTTTGTACAGTACGCGTATGATGTGTATATCTGTATATCTCATCATGAAATCAAGCGTTATATAAAAAAGTTCTACGTGTTCGTTAAAAATATAGACAATAATCATTTTGTTGCGTAATTTTGTAATTCTCAACATATGAAATTGTCAAACTGGTTTTTCCATAAGCAATTATGCACTTCCTTACAATAACAAGATGATTTATCTTCACGATTGCGAAATTCGAATCAAGGGAAAACCAAGCGCTAAGAATAAATTTCGTCAAACTTAAAGTGTGAATTTTGCTTTTCAATTATTGGAATTTTAAGAAAAAATTATTATTTATTCTATGACTAAAAATAATAAAATCAATTTTAGTGACTAATAATTGTACGATCGTAAATACGTTTTATAAATATTTGCATTTTATATAGTAATTAT